GCTATCCATGGTCCTGAACCAGATCCACGGATCGCTCCTTTAAAGGCCACTGTGAGGTCCAGGGTGGATAATGGCCTCCTGACACTGAAGCTGCTGCTCCCATATGTTCCTACCCAGCCCCAAGGCCCTTCTGGAAGAGCCTCTGCCAAGGAGGTAAGGAGGACAGGTGACAGAAGAGGGGCCTTCGCAGTGGAACAGCCTCTCGGAAGTGCTCACCTGGCACTCTCATTGCTACCTGTTTGGTGCCAGGCAAAAGCAACTCTGTTCTCCGGGCATTTAAAGACTTGATTTTAGCTTGGAAGTTTCAAATCCATTGCCCTCAGGCTTGCACCGGTTTATTTTCTTGTCTTTTGCTTATTATATTTTAACCGCTTGTTTTTATTGTCATGTTATGATATTATTTTATTTGATTGTAATCCACTTAGAGGGCCAATTGAGCCTAAAATAAGTTAAATAAATAAAAATATCAGGGCGCAAGAGCCAGCAATGTCCCAGTGGGGGCTGGGCACCCACAGGCCTTCCTGGAGTTCATGCAGTCCAAGGCCCAGCAAGTGATGGCACCAGGCCTACACATCTGGATGCTCGGACCCTTCCTCTTGAGCATCCTCTCAGGGCCAGTCGTTCTTGCTCCCACCAAGCGGCACGCCTTGCCTTCCCACCCACTTCGCTTCATTTGCTCTTGCCCTTCTCCTCCATCATGGCACCCTCCTCCTCGCTGATCCACTGGGAACCGCGCATTCTGCCTGTCCCTGAGGCAGGCTTGCTTTCCCTCCGCAGCATCAGGTGAAAGACAACACTTTAGCTCTTCAGCAAAAACTCTCCCGTCTCCCGGGACTGCTGGCCCCGACTGCTGCAGCCTGCCGCTCGCCAGACCTTTTGCGCCCCCCTCTCCCCGCCCCCTTTCGCAGGGCTGGGCTCTTCGGCCAGGGTCCCATGTCCTGCCTCGGTCCTTCGGCATCTGCGGGCACCTTGGGGCTCCTTGAGAGCTGCTTCTGCTCACGTGAACGGCCTTTAGCTCTCAGGTAAGCGAAGAGCCGGTGCTGGGAGTGCAGGGGAGGGACTAAGGCTCTTGCCCCCCTGTGCAGCTGGGCTGCACGTCCCGAAACGATCGGCACTCCTGCACCGTGCATTGCTGCGGGATCTCCGCTAGTCGCCCGCGGTCCGAGATGCCCTGGAGCGAACAGGGACACCTCTCCACGCCTGTCCCCTTCCTGTCATAGGACGAGGAGTACAGAAATGACACTGCCCCCCGACTCAGCTGTTGCAAGCCCAGCCCTGCAGAGACGCCTCTTTTACCGCAGGGGGTGGAGCTAAGCCGCCCAGGGGGCGGTGCGGCGCCAGAGCCCCGCCTCTGCGCGGCGTTACTCGCGCAAGAGTTTCTGCCTGCGCCCAGACTGCAGGAGCGGCAGCCGCGCGCTCGAGACGCAGGTAACGGGGCTGCCGAGGATGGCGAGGCTGGTCCAGGGAGCGCTGGGGCGCGATGCCGGGGGCGGGGGATGGGGATGGGGGCCTGGGCGGAGAGCAGGCTGCAGAGATGCGGGGCCGGTGAAATGCAGGTGGGGCTGCAGAAGGCAGCGCGCGCGGGGAGGAAGAGACGGGGAGATGGAGGGAAGAGAGGAAGATGGAGCGGGGGTGGAGAAGAGGGTCGGGAAATTGCCGAGGAGGAAAAGGGAGGCTGCAGCCAGGGGCGCAGGCTATGAGTCCCTGGAACGCGGCGGGAGCTTTGCTTGTGAGCGCACATAACGCAGATTGTCGTGGAAGTGGAGGGTTGGAGAGCCAAGGAGGAGGAAAGGGGGAAAGCAAATAAGGAGCGAGGAGACGGGGGAAGGGGCGCCGAAGGAGAAAACCGGGCGCTTAGAGGACAGCCGCCTGGGACGGAGAGAGGCGGGGCGTCGGGAGCGACCAACGGAGGAGACAAGGGCAGCAGGGCGGGTGCTGCGGCGCTTCTGTTCCGAGGGGAGTTCGCGCTTTCGCCCTCTGCAAAGGGCAAAAAGCAGGCCGGTTTTCCTGCCTCTTGGGCCGCTTGGCTCGCGCCTTACGCATCCTCCTCGGGAAAGATGCCATCTTTCAATGCTGCTGCAGTCTTTCCAGGAGTGAAAAGCACCCTTGACGGACCCCTCCCCCCCGCCGAGGGATGCTACCCCGCCAGCCCGATGCCATTTCCCATTGCTTTCCCTTTGAGGGCACTCGCATGCACACCCGGAGGCGTAAGATCTGGGGAGGTGACCGGCAGGAGAAAGGGGAGGAGGTGGCCGGTGTATGTCCTACTCCAAAGCCGTGGACATTGGCGTGGGGAGCGGTGTAGCAACGGACCACATCCAGCACATCCCCTCTGGACTGTGTACCTGGGACACGAGGCTTTGAAGGCGAGCTCTGAAGCACCGTCCTGTTGCATGGCTGCTGAGCCAGCACCATGTGCTCTGAGAAACTGCCGCAGTATCACTACGGGAGGAATGGCACTGCAAAACTGGTAACCGGATCTCTCCAGGTGGCAGGCCCTTGGGCCTCCTCCCAGGCACTGGCGGGGCTCGTGCGGGAACACTGCAGTCAGCATCAAAGCCAAGACCCTGTGACCAGGCTGCGGGTGTGTCTGGGGAGCACTGCGGGAGCGCAGCGGTGCAGCTGGGTCAGCCTCTCTCTGGCGAGGCTAACGACATCCCTGCAAGGGCAGCCATCAGTCGGCTGCTGTTCCACAAGGTGGTGCGGGCTGTGCCATCCAGACCAGATGTAGCAGTGGGAGTCTCCAGCTTACTGTGCTATCAGAGTTGGGACACCTGAGCAAAACCAGGGAATGCTGCAGCCAGAAGCAGAGAGCAAGCAATCCACTTCTTTGGGGATGAAGCTGCAGTTGGCAGGCTGTTGGGTAGGGGGAGAGAAGGGCGCCCTCTGCTTGTTGGTGGTGTGAGGAGACCTCCTTTGGAGGCACACTGACTGGGTAGACAGGCAGACCCCTCCTCTCCCACCCAGCCCCATCCTTTTCCCCAGCACCACTGGTGTCCTGCAGCAAGGCCAAGCCCCCTGTCCTTCCAAGTGGCGAGTCACATTTCAGGACAAACATGGGAGCTGAAGCTTGACCATAAACCTTCATCTTGCCTCCTGAGAGGATTCCTCAGGCCTGATGCACAGTGTGGAGGTTGTGGAGGGGCAAAGCCCTGAGCAAACACACAGATCCATGCTGCTTGCACAGACTCAAACCAGACCTTTGCAAACGATCCATTCCATTGTATTCTCCCCTTCTCCAGTGTACCCCGTTCTGCCTTTGCCTCACCCACCGACTCCACTCTAGTTGGCTTTTCCAATGGCTATGTAACTTCCTGGACGTAGCCAGTCCTCGTTGGGTCTGTTTGGCTTGGAGGTTTTTGACAGGAGCTGTTCCCTTTATGGGTTTGCATTTCCACATGCCTGAGGGTAACGCTGGCCATGCAGATGCCTCCCCCTTGCTTCCAATGGGATGGGCCACTCACAAGTCCATTCCCACCTCCTCCAAACTCCCACCTTAAATGCGGCACTTATTTCTCCCCATCCTGTTTCCCCTTCTTTTTTCCCCTCCTCTCATGAGTCTTCGTTTTGCTGGAGAAATTCACCCAGGGCAGTGAGTGCCTCTCACCTTTCCAGATGCAAGTTTCCACCCCATCCATCCATACCTGTCTGTTTTCTCTGCAAACAGAGTGTTTTCAGTAATCCACCTGGACTTGACAATTAGTTTGGAAAATAACATTCTGAATCCTGCCCATAGGTTTCCTTCCTCACATCTGATATGAAGCTGTGACTCTCTGCTGTCTCCCCACTTCTGGGAAAGAAACAAAAAAAACAAGGCAGCGCTTTGAACTGCAGGGTCAGAAAGGAGGGGCAGATCCGGGCAGAGGAGTTCCTGTGGAGGAGGCAGGTCAGTCCACTGGATCATGCCCATGTTGACCTGGCAGTCAGGAAGTCCCAGTTAGCTGGAAGGAGAGGACAGGGTGTGAGGAGTCAGGGAATTTACTGCGACTTCCCCTCCAAATACAGAACATGCAGCCAGCTCCAAAGCCAGCTCTGTTTTCATCCGAGGCGGCCAACTTTTTAGCAAGCTCCACAGTTAGCCATCTGCTCTCGGAGCAGCATTCGTCTCAGTTCCCCGGTAGCAGAAGTCTGCCAGCCCAAAGCACTGAAGCAGAGCAGGCCTTGGGGGTTTTCTGCTCATGCCTTGGCAGCCCTTTCTTTGCTGCGCATGCACATTTCGCAAGCACGGAATGTTCAGCGAGGGAAGTGCACGGACCACGCCGGTGGGTGCGATGGCGAGACCCAAAAAGAGGAACGTTGCAACACAGGTTTTAGGTAGTTGGAACCTAGAAATCTGCCTCTTGCAATGTCCGTCTCATTCAGTTTTGTTTGCACTGCCAGGCAAAGGTTTCTTTTTTTTATTTGATTTGATTTTTATCCCACTAACTTAGCCAATCAGGTTCTACAGGGTTTCATCGGAAGTCTTTCCTGCAGGCTACCTGGAGCAGCCAGAAACTGAACGTGCTTTCACTGCCTCCTGATATAGCTGAAATTCGCTTTACTGGGTGTGGGGAGGGACTGTTCTGAGATGCTGGATGAAGCCAACACACAGCCCTAGGGCAGGGGGGAAAAACAGTGCATGCCCCACCAAATGATGTAGAACTACAACTCCCATCAACCCCAACCTAGATGGCCTACATACAGGGATGATGGGGCTGTGGTCCAACAAGCTGGCTACATTTTCCTGAATGCTCCCAGAGTCATGACTGCTTTTAGTGACCTAGAATTGTGGTCAGCAGCACAGAGGAAAGGATCTGTTCTTGGCCAACCTTTTCCTGCTTGGATCCAACGTATGGAAAAGCTTGGCCATGGGCAGGGGGACGGCAGGAGAGCACCAGGTGTCGTCGTGCTGCGATTCCTTCTGGGCCACCACTGCTGCTTTGCCTTCCCCTGCGAGGCTGCCGGGGTGGGCAGAGGGGCATGCCGACTTTTACCTTTACTGTTAATGAGGAAAGGACACCATGTTACTGTGCCAGCCAGAGGACGTGGGGGTGCTAAGCTGCCTCAGCCTGGCCAACGAGGCCTCCAAAGGCACCCCAGCTGCTGCCTTTCCAACTGGGGTGAGCTCACCATGCCCCTGGTGGGGCCGTGCCCCATGCCGAAGCTCCATCCCCCCCCCCCCCCGCTTCAGGTTTTATAGGGCCATCCTAGCTCCCTACCCCAGAGCATCTTCAGGAGTTTTGAAAAGGTATACCTCCTGCTTCAGCCCCAGAGGCACACAATGCGCCTGTCTTGTTCTCCTCTTCTTCCCCTTTGCTTTGGCTCCTTCCCCACTGCAGTGTCTCCAGGATGAATCATCAGCTGCTGAGCTCATCTTGCGCCTGGTTGTCTCATTTGCTGTAGAGGGCAATGGAACAAGCAGAGCTGTGAAATCGAAGGAGTTAGCTGGAGAACTGGACTGGGACTTGGAAGAGCCTGGTGTTTGGCCATGCAACTCACAGGGGGACTGCCCCATAGCTGACTTTCAGCCTGACCTACCTCACAGGGCTGTTGGGAGGATGAAATGGAAAGGGGAACCCTGGAAGTGGTGTTGAAGGAGGACACAGCAGAGAGAAATGTAATAATACATTAATGAAGAAACTCCCAGAGGTGGGAAGCTGGTGAAAATGGCTCATTAGAGTAACAGGACAAAACACTACAGAGCCTGCTTTCCCATCCAGCTCTGCTTCCCCGCACCTCACCCCCAAAAGAGGTCCCATGGTCCTTCCTTTCTGTCCTGTATCAACTGCCCTTCATGTTCATTGGCTGCCTGACACATACGCACTGTTTCTAAGGGAAAACAGCTCACTGGCAGAAAAACCTCCCAAGCCTTGACCCTGTCTCCTGCATGGAAAACACGGCAACCCCTCAATAATTTGGGCTGCCCTTTCCCAGTTCTGTTCTATCCGCTTTGCAGAAGAGAGAGCACAGAACCCTGGACAGTCTTGCAGGCGGGACTGTGCCATAGATTCATGTGATTGGCCTTCCAGCTGCTCTGCACCACAGAAGAACGGGGAGGCAGAGGTCGCTTGTGTCTGTCCTGCTCCCATGACCATCCATGGCTTGTGGGCATCGCAATGGCATCGGTGGTGAAAGGGAGCCATCCTGTTGCTTGCAGGCGCAGGTACGTGGCTGCCCACTGAGAGGCGCCCCTGCTTTATGCTGCTTTCCGCTCACATAACTCAGCGGTGCAGAAGCCCCGGCCCACGGGCCTCATCCTGGACCAGGAAGCCTGGACTTCTAATGCCACTGGACACTGCCCAGTATTTGCATTGGGAAAAGGGGGGTCATTCATGCCCCCCACCCTCTTCCCTCTCTTTGCAGAATGCAAACAGTTCCACAAACCTCTGTGTCCTGCTCTTCTCCAGCTGCCCTCCCACCATGTGTGCCTTCCTTCTGGATCAAGCTCTGCCCCCTCTCTTTTTGTAACCACTCTGCTCAGCTCCTGTGCATGGAAAGGCTGTGCAGACCTAGGCAGAAGGTGCTGCTCCTCACCTCGTCTTAGAACGTTTCATCTGATGGTTTCTGCGGAACACCAAAGACACAGAAAGAGGCCAGGCTGGGGGCACTGGGATCCTCCGGCGACCTGGGTAGGCTCCAGCCAGGCATGGTCTATGAGGGACAGAGGCCGATGGCCAGCGTGGGCCCACTGTTGACTCACAGGGAAGGAACCCCACGTGTCTTGGCTGGTCTGTGGAGGCGCCCTGCTTGTACCTGTGCCCGCATGGTTTTGCAAAGTGGCCCCTTTCACCTGAACTCTCCCCTCTGCCAGCACAGCACTAGGAGCTGAAAAGATCAGGGACTCAGGCACATGGGACAAGAACAGATAGACCTGTTCCATGGGCTAATTTTCTCATGTTCTAAAGTCTCTGTAGGGGTGTCTGCAAAGGACCCTCTTGTCAAAATGAATGTACGGACAGGGAGAAGGGGGCATTTGATTTCCGAAAAAATCCTTGGGCAGAAAGATTCAAGGGTGGGCAGCAGGAAGTAACAGGCAGGAGGACAAAGGCCGGCAAATCCAGGGGGACGAACTGCAAGTAGGATGCTCAGGAACCGGTGCCTGACGGGGTGATGGGACACGGGCCTTTCCAGGGCTTGGGGGCATCAGCCCTCGTAGGCTGGCTTCTAATGCCACGTTTGCTCTCAACAAACCTGATGTCTTTTCTCCCCTTAGATTTCTTCCACGGGTGTGCTGTGTGCCGAGGCCGAGACGCCGGCGGAAAGATGAAGTCCACTATAGGCATAGCCATTCTTGTGACAGGTAAAGCAGCGCTGTGAGAAGAAGCCTTGTGCTGCCATCTAGTGTTCCGAGAAAGCAGCTCTCCCATTTATTTATAGCATTTCTATACCACCCTATCACAAATCTGGGCAGATCGCAGCAGTTAAAACCATAAAAATGCAATGTAAGAAACGATTTAAAAGTTTAAAACTATACTGTCAAGAAGTAAAAGCCACAGTTAAACCTAGCAAGGATGTAAAAATACAGTAAAGAGTTTAGTGGAAGAAAAAGAAAGACTTAAATGACTAGAAAAAAAAAAGGAAGATATTCACGTGGTGCCCAAAAGAGCACAGTGTAGGTGCCAGGTGAGTTGGGACTCTGGAAGGAGGACTGCTGAGGATGGTCTTAGGGTCTGGACAGGTATATATGGGAAGAAACAGTGCTTCAGATTACCCACCCACAAGCAGTTTAGGACTTTGAATGTTAATACCGGCATTTGAGTCAGGCCTGAAATGAACTGGCAGCCAATGCAGATGACAAAGTATGGCATAATAGGATCACTATCTTGCTAACCTATTTTGAACCATCTAAAGGCAGGTATAAAGTTTCCCTGCTGCTAAAAACATCAGTCACTTGGCACCTGTCTGAATTGTTTCTATGCCCTTTCTAAAACCACCTTCCCTTGACCGATCTACTGGTTTCTGGCTTCAGCCAGGTGACCTGGGGCCACTGGAAGCTGTACCTGCTCATTTGCAGGAAAGACATTAAGTCAAGGGGGAGATGCTGCTGTCTGAACCCAGCCACACCAATGAACTGTGGTTTGTTAAGGACAAACAATCCACCCTTAATAAACAATAACAGCCTAAGCTCTCAGCAGAGCAGAGCTTCTCCTCAAATGAATCCAGCCCTCCAGTTGGAAGAGGTCCCTCACACTTGGGTTAAACAAACTTTAAGTCAGTTCATGAAGATCCATTGATGGATCCGTTAAACCTGCATGTGACCAATCTACATTTCCCATGACTAGCGGAAGATGATTCCTTTAGTTTCACGGCAGAAGTCCTTTGGGGGTGAAAAGCAAAATGCCTCTCCAAAGGTTGTACCAGCCATGTGTCTGCCATTTGCTTGAGCACTTAATAATGTACTATTGTACATTTATGTACTATTGTATTTCAATGTATTTTATCATGTTGTAAGCCGCCCCGAGGTTTCGGCAAGGGGCGGCATAGAAATGTTATAATAATAATAATAATAATAATAATAATAATAATAATAATAATAATAATGTTTAATACAGCTTAAAAACAAAAGGCATCACTTGCTTTCATCAGGGTACCTCTGGGTTCTGAACTTTGGTTTAGCAAAAGCACATTAACCAGTTCATTCCACAATGAGACTCGATGGATCCAACTAATGAAAGTGGATTCATCCCACCCCTGGGTCGGCACCTCTTGTTGGCCTTGCTGCTCAGCTCCACAGCTTGCCACCTCTGGCTCCCATCCTGATGAAATCCGTTGCCTTCCCCAGTGCTCCAGGTGGCCCGGTGCCAGCGAGTCAGAGACCTGACAGCTTGCTTGAGTGGGAAAAGCCTGCGCTTGGACTGTCACTACGACAGGAAGACGGACAACCCCCTTTCCTATGAATTTCGCCTGACCAAGGACCACGGGGAGGGGTCTGTTGTGGCTGGCAACTTGAAGGTACCCAGTAGCGTGTACAAGGGCCGCGCCAGTGTCAACACCACCAACAACCTTGTGTGCCTCTACCTCCATGGCTTCACCACTGCCGATGAGGGTGTCTATGTGTGCAAGCTGAAGATCACCAATGACTATGAAGGGCCTGACTCCAGGAACATCTCGGTTATCAAAGGTACGTGAGATCCTCACTTCAGGGCTGTGATTGAGCATGTGGGAAGAGCCCATGGTTGAGCTTTCCCCTCATCTGGTGCAAACAGGGCAGGGGCATGGAGGCATCTCCTGATATTTCCATATGGACTTGTGACCCAATGGGAGTCCACCTGGAGAAGATCCCTCAACATGGTGGTCCCTTCCAGAGGCCTTGCCTCTGCAAGTCCCAAGCAGTTGCATTTCCTTGGCTGACCAGCCACTGCTTTTACTGAGACGCTGTTTTAACCTTGTGCTTTCTTCTATTCTATTTTCTATAAATAAGTCAACATCTGCTGCCATTTCTCCTCACCGCCTGGGCCAGAGCACAGGGCAGATTAACATGCCAATTGCAACAGGGAAGAGGAGAGCACATCTGGGGGGAGGGGGGTCTCGTGAGGTCTGGGCTCTTGGCAGGTGCCCAGTCACACCTGCTCTTCACACACATAGCCCAGCATCAGAGGCCACCTGTCTCTGGGTGCCACCAGGTGTGGAACCCAAGCGGAAGGTGCTGTTGCACTCACGCCCTGCCCATGGCCCTCCCCTTTGGGGCATGGAGTTGGCCATTGTGGAGGCAGGATGCTGGGCCAGAGAGTCCTTCTGGTCTGATGAGCAGCTGCATGTTCTTCCCTCCCCTGTTTCTTGCAGACCGTCTGGAGAAATGTGCTGGAATCAGTCTCTTGATCCAAAATACATCCTGGCTTCTGCTCCTCCTCCTCTCATTGCCTCTCCTGCAAGCCGTGGACTTCGTGTCCCTGTAAAGAAAGAAGGAAGGAAGGAAAGAAAGACGCCAAGGAAGCAGCAATGGAGAGAGAGAAAGCGCCGACTAGCAAGTGAACCTAAATCCACCACAGGAACATGGGCCCTCTTTGGGGGGGTGGGAAAGAGGTGACCAAGAAAGACGATGATTCGACACCGAACCCAGATTGTATCGCTCAATATTATTGCTTTCTCTATATATATCTCTCTATGTAGCCTCATAGTTTGCGCTAAGTAGCCATCACACCATCACATGCAAGCAATGACATCACAGGCAAGGGGGTTGTTGTCCATAGGAGGGGATCCCCAGCACAACGTAAGGAAATCTCGTGCAAGCATGACAGTATTCCAGTGGCAACACTTTCCCATGCCAACTCAGTTTGTCTCGTTTAGCCATTTCCCTGTCCTCCCTCCCTCCCTCCCTCCCTCCCTCCCTCCCACCCACCCCTAAAATGCCAGGACCATGGAGGCTGTTTTCCAGGGTGCCAAGAATCTTATCCAGTTCCATCTTCCACATGGGTTGCTGGAACAGTCTCAAGGGAAGGAACTGAACTGCAAGATATTCAGTGTGCTTTTTTTCCCCTTTGCTCTTTTTCTTACCAAACCCCAAAAAGCCATTGGGAAAAGAGCATTGATGTGAACAGGGGGAAGTTTAGCCCTGCCTGGATAAAAGGAGTCTTTTACCAGTGAAACACGCACAAGGAGTGGATCCACAGCAGGGATGTTACACCTTGGACCAGCCACTGAAATCTGGCCTTTATGGGGTTCCCGTCCAGCCTCCAAGGTTCCCCATTTGGCCGTGCCACTGATGGTGTGGAAACCTGCTAGCTCATGCTTTTCCCCCTTCTTAAAAGGTTGGAAGACTTAGCTACTGGCAGGAAGAGTTCTGAACTGAAAAACGCAGCTATTTTTGCTTGTCAGCCCTGTCCCCTCTTGCCTTTAGTCCTGACCACAACTGGAGTGCAGCCCTAGGAGTCTCTTCAAAACTGAATTCAGCCCAGAGAGGTTGAACACCCCTGGCCTATATCTCTGCTAGTCAGTCAATGCATTGCCCTGCTTGGTGGGTTTACACATTTGGTAAAATCCACTGTGGTCGTGAGCATGCGTGGGTTTGAGAATTCTTTTTCAATCCGGAGCCTTGCCAACGGAAATCATGTTGGCTTGCAGGTTCAGGGGAGGGATGATAGAAAGACTTTTGCATGCAGAAAGAAGCCACCAAGCTCAGCCTGGGATACCTGAATATACCCTCTTGGTACCCTTTGTACAAGCACCAGCACAGGGGGGAGAAACCGCACAAAAAAGAACTCTTTCAAATCCTACTTGTGGGCTTTCTACAAAACCTTGGCTTGCCCTGCCTATGAATTAAGATATTTCTGATAGAGATAGGATGAGTCTTGAAGAGGAAGTGCAGGGAGGCAGATCTAGGCTTTTCTTCTAGTCTGTTTATGGAACCCCAGCTCTGTTGAGTTGGCTGGGATCGGAATAAGAGAAGGGGGAAGCCCACTCCTGGATCTCATCAGCAATAAATGCACAAACAGTCATATTTTGGGGGAAAAGTTGCTGAGCCATTCAGCAACTTCTCAGTACTGAGCCGTTCTCCCTCCAGTGTCTTCTGGGTGATCTAATTCAATCCAGGGGTGGCCTGTTTTTCAGTGTGCCTGTAAAAGAGTGAGCATTTTAATTGCCTGAATTAAAAGCTGGTGCATCTCCCAGCATCACAGAATAAACTCACTGCATCCTGTGTGCATAGGGCAGGGGGTCAGCTTTTTCTCTTTCCTTAGCCCCCAGACAGAGACAAAGGTGTCTTCTCATGCAGCCAGTTGTGGGTGAAAGGGACGACTCAAGCAGGCTGGGAAGCTTCATTTTAAGCTCTTCTTCCTCTTCCTTTTCCTCTTCTTTTGTCTCTTTCATTTTCTGTTACAAAAGTCTACTGTAAGGCTTCAAGTACTGTGTCAGCTCAGCCAGCTATTGCTGAAGTCATTTATTTATTTTAATTTTTATTATTAAACTTATATTCCACTGTACTAGTCCAAGGACTCTAAGCAGAATTTAAGTATCGCTTGCCAAGGAAACCTGTGTTCCAAGTTCTCTGCTAAGCTGCAGAAGCAAGAAGGGACCCTGTTGTGACTCAGTCCATTTAGAGAAAATGTTTAGCTTTTTCTGATATTCATGGAGATATAAGAAAAGGAAGCTGCGGGGCTCCTGGGCAGGCAGTATTCTGGCACAGCATGTGCTCCCAGGATTCTGGTCAAACAATGCCAAGGTGCTGGGGGGGCTTGGGAAGCAACTGTGCACATGGCAGGCTTTCTCCCGTCAGGGAGTTTACATTTAGCAGACTGAATTCATTGGAAAGTATTAGATAAATGCAATTGGTAGAATGCATGTTTTGTATGCAGAGGTTTCCAGCTCAGGCAAAGTGAGGGAGGAATCCTGCCTGGAAGCCTCAGAGAATGTGATGCAGGAAATGTCAGTGAAGCCTGCAGAAGACTGCGATTTTCCTGGGGAGCAGTTAGTGAGGAGGGCCCGGTGGTGGTGCAGAAAAGCTAATTCTGCAGATTAATCCCATGGTCAGCTGGCATGTCAAAGCACAAGTTAGGGGGATAAGGAAAAGTTCTGGGGGACCTCTGGAACCTCTCAGGTATTGCTCACCTATTTGTGTCCATAACTTATGCAGCCAGACTTGATTTCACTGCAGCTTTCCCAGCAGAGAACTTGGAAATTGCAGGGGGGGGGGGGGGGGGGGGGGGGGGGGGGCAGGCAGAGGTAAAGACCACTCTTTGCCATAGTCTTGTTTTGTGAACATTTGTAGAATGTTTTTCACAGCTTACAGTCAAAGAAAATTCAGTTATTAACCGAAAACAACCACATATGTCAGCACAAAATAAATCTTTAACTTGTTGAAAATTTCCCCTAAATTGTGTCTTTTTTGGGTTGATTTGGAAGAGCTTTGCCCAGCCAGCTACCCTCCAGCTGCATTGCATCATGCCAGCCAGATGGCCATCCTGGTCTTGCATTTTTGCCATAAAAACGTAAGAGGATCAGCCCAGGGTCCACTGATTGGGACGTGTTGGAAGCCCTAAGGCTTTCCCGGGTTGAAACACGCGTGGAACACCTTCCGCACGTTCTCCGGTTTGCTGCTGGCGCCTTAAAAGAACAGAACGCTGTTGCTTAACTGTTTTCTCGGACTCGCTCCTGGGTTCCACGGGCGGCCAGGTTCTAACAGCTGCAAGAGGCGAGCCGTGCGCCCTCCGCCACGTCTCCGTTCCAGGCTCCCTGGACCGTTCAGCGTCCACAAGCGGAACTCAGCCTTCCGGGCAAGCTACCCAGCCCATCAAAGCCTTTACCTGCCCCCTCTGAAGGCATTAGGACTGTGGTATCGCCGTCCGTATACCGCCGATGCCAAACGACCTCTCGCTCAACAGAGTCCGTCTCCTGGCGCAGCCAGGACAGGCGGCGGCGACTCTCATCTCCACAGCTCTGGGAAGCATCCGCGGTTCCGGCAGGAGAAGCTACCCCGCCCCGTGCGGCTCTCCGTTTCTCCGCGTCCGGGCAGCAAGCCTTCCCAGCCGCGCGGTTCGCCTCGCCTCGTAGGCTGGGCGGGCCGCGCCGGCCTCCGCCTCTTGCCGTCCCCCCGTGCGCTCCGGCCGTTCTCGCCGGGGCGGGCGCTGCGCGTCAGCTGCGCCCGGATTGTGACATCAGGCCCGACGGCGGCCAGGACGGCTCCATGGAGCCAGGCGGGTTCGGCTCGTCCCCTCTGGAGAGAGCCAGGTGAGTGCGGGGCGCGCCTCCATCCCCACTCCTAACTGCGGGGGGGCGGCGCCCCTCTTCCCTCCTCCGCAGGCTACACCGCCCTCCAGGTAGAAGGCGCGGAGGGAGCGCTCTCTGCTGCCCGCGGCTGGACGCGTGTCTGCGGCGTGGAGAAAAGCTGGCCCATCCATCCATCATCCACCCTCTCTTTCTCTGTTACACACACACCCACACCTCCCCAGTGACCGCCTCCCGCGCGCGCACACACGCACCCGGTGGAGAACTGTCCGAGGTTGCACACTTGCGAGTTGAACACAACGAGAGGCGAAGGTAAACACCGTCACCAAGTGTGGAGAAGTGGCTAAAGTCTCGAAGGTTCTGTTTTCACACAGAAGAGGCTGTTTCCAAGCCCAGCGAGGCAGTGTATCCACTCCAAGTTTCATGCTGGACTTTTAGGATGCGGTCCACACTGTCAACCCTGTTTTGGGATCCAGCCCAGCACCATGGATAGCTCTGTTAAAATTAGGCCTAACCCTGGACTGGGCACACTGCTCAAGGGCTACTGGAACCAATCTGCCTCTGACACATTTTCCTATTGCTAATATTCCATTTCTTGAAAAAGGAAAGGTCTTGAGACTCTGACCTCAGGGGAAGACCTCTGCTACCAAGCAAGTCTGCTGGGGGACAGATTGCAAGCTGCAGGGAGACCTGCGCGGAGAGACCGCTCCTCTCCTTTTCACTGCTCTTAAAGAAGAGGCATGGCCAAAGAGGGTAGGGCATGTTGCCAGGCAGAGCACAAGAGGAAGGGGGCATCTCCACCACGGGGTCAGTCCTCCCCCCAGTTCCTTCTTCATCTACACACACATGCAAACACACAGGGAAATCACTGTAGTGTCAATCGTGAAGAATATCTCAATGAGCACTGAACTGTTATTTCTGGGTGGAGAGAGCAGAACTCAGCTCCATTTTGCCCACAGCTGTTCCCTGCGCCCTACAGCCACATGGGGATCTGAATACAGGCTGTTCTAAGGCGATCTGGGGGTTGTCTAACCCTCATGTAACCACAACGCCTGGATTCCCACAACCAGAAAACCACAGTCTGCCTGTTTTGCATATTCCAATGGAAGCCCAGTTGATGGTGGCTAATGAACCCCCACTGGCTCATTGTCGGCTGGGAACCAGAGACTTGGCTGTGCTGGTAATGAGAAGCTGGAGTGTTGTTAGCCCAGAAAAGACGATCTGGGCTTGGATGAATCCTCCCCTGTTATTGCAGGCTGAGTAATGGCTGAGAACATGCCCTGCAGCAGACAGCAAGCATGGCAATTGAGCTCCTTCCAGGCCTCAACACCGCATGGTGCAACTCTGTGTTATGTTGCTATGAGCCTGTTTGTCAGTGATCTCTAAGAGGCTTTCCCAGCATCCACGGGAACCCCGGCGTTCCTCCTGGAAAGGTTCCAAAGCAGCTAAAACTTTCTTGTTTTCTCTTTCACTTCTTCAAAGAGAAAAGTTTGGCCTCTCCTTTTCATGTCCCAGTGTCTCCCAGCTCCGATTAAATGCCGGATTGGCTTGACATTTGGGGAGTTGTTCTAGATTTCTGCTTTACCTTCACCTCTGAAAGATCAGGGTGGCTGACACTGCCTTCCCCCAAACTGCTCCACGTCAGAGGTGCTACGCCACCACTCTCATCATCCCCAGGCAGCACAGTTACTGGGATGACGGGTTGTGTAGTTCAACGCATTTGGAGAGCTCCTGGCTGGGAAAGGTTGCCTTTTTCCATTTGTCATCACAGCAGTGTGGTGAGTTAGACCAGCTTTTAATGTTCCCATTTTGCAGATGGCAAAGTGAGAGATATTATCTGTGGCACAGGGCCATGGGAATCAATCAAGGTGCAGCCTACATTTCACATCTCCTCATTCTCTCTGTGCGAGCACGGCATTTAGTATAATAATCACAACAATAGCAAGCATCATCATTTCTTAGCTGCCTTTAAAAGAAACACACGAGACTGAACGGAGGATGAAAGAGCCGCTCTCAAACGGGTTACTGGGTGCATTGCTCAGTACCCTTGGCAACCCTATTTAATTTCTTTTTCTGACCCTTCAGGTCCTAGAGCTTAGCTTAACTTCCAACCCAATGGAACAGACCTTGCAGGGACATTCCCTTAGCTCCTATTCCCCTGGCCTCCCCCTTTCAATCACCCCCTTTTGCTCCCAGCCTGGGGCACCTCCAGTTTCTCCTGCTGCCACCCTCCCACCCATTTCCTAGCAGTGGGATGCCCACGGAGACCCGCCAGGAGTTGCCCCTTTAAGCCTCCCCCCTGCTGGAATGTGAGTGCTTCAGCCGTCCTGTGAGGTCAGATAAGACTCTATATTTATCCAGCTGGTAACCGGAGCTGTGAATTACAGCACCAACAGCACCGGGCTCCTTCCAGCCTTCGGGCGCATTCTCCACGGGGAGGTTGCGCTGCCGTCCGTCTTTCTGCACCGGCCACTCAGCTCTCCCCGTCCAGATCAACACTTCTCTGTCTCACAGACAGGTGAGTACCTTCGGGTTCTTTATCCTTGCTTTCTTTCTCCCCCCTTTCCCCCTCCCTGCTTCTGCTCTAGAAAAAGCAACTTGCTGAAGCTGAACTGAAGTCTCTCCACGCAACCTGAGTGCCAGTCCTTATGTCTCTGATCTTGCAGCCTGTCCTTCCATGCACAGGTGGGTGCAAGCCGGAGGGAGGCATGTGTGGCTGCTGAAAGCGGCCAGGGGGCTTATTCTTGGCCTGAGAGTCGGCCCGGCGACAAGTTGGGAGGGCTAGGCATTGATTTCTCCAAATGATGCTTGCAAAGCCTTTTGCTTGCCGGCACATCCCTTACTTGCTGCAAAGATGTGGCAAAGTGGGGGAAAGGCTGTGTCTGAACTTTGTTTGGGAGCGGCGTGGGCAGTTGTGCGAATCGGCAAGGTTTATGGTGTTGCCGAAGGCTTCAGCGGGCCCAGTGGAGTGGCAGCCAATTAGTTGGTGCATCCAGAGCTGCCTTCCCCAAGAGAGCACCAGACCGGGAAGGTCTGCCTGAGAACAACTTTCCTCACTCAGAGATCCTCCAGCTGTTGTTTTATTGAAGTACAGGATTCCAGGGGGTCCCATATGCCACCAGCCCTCTACCCTCAATCACACCAATCACATCATCCTTTCCCTTCCCCTGTCCTTGAGTTCGTGTCCTCCTATCGAGTCGCATTTTCATTTTTTAAGATCCCCAGAGCCCACATTGGTAGGGTGCTGGTGTGGAGCTGTTGTTCAGGGAAGCAGGAGCTGCTGCTGCGGCAGCAGCAAAGCCAGGCAGGGGCCCGTTGCCCTGTGGCCTGCCCTGAGAAGGCATCGGTGGCCCTGGGCCAGCACTGTGGGCAGGGGCAGGCATTTCCAAATGACGTCAATGGCGAGGCTCATTCCTTCCATGCGCTGGAGTTTGCATAAGCCCAGCCGACTCATGGAGTCCATCTGGAATGGCTTGAGAGCATACTGCGGGGGGGGGGGGACCTTCTGGAATGGGTCAGACTGAGTGCCCTGAGGAAGCCCCCCGGGAGCAGGACAGCCAATGTGGCGCGGTGCTTACGGTGTTAGACTGGAGACCTGGAAGAGGCAGGCTCTAGTCCTCACTCAGCCATGAAGCTCAGGGAGTGAGTTTGGGCCGGTCACTCTCTCAGCCAAACTTCCCTCACCAGGCTGCTGTTATGAGGATAAGATGGAGCTATCCGAGCTCCCTTGAGTTCCTCACAATAGAGCAGTGTTGGATATAAATCCTATGGGATAATAATAATAATGAATGTGTCGCATGGCTGGATGGATGGATGGTAGGCATGTTGTGAGTGGAGCCGGCTGGAGCTGGGGGTCAGACTAGATGGCCCAGGAGGCCCCTTCTGAATCACTGTTTCTATGGATGGCCAATAGGAGTTGCTCTTTGTGGGAGGTTAGGAAGAGGCTCACCCATGGCACATGTGTAGTTTGTGTCTTGCATTTTTATCAGCATTTCTTTGGCTAAAGAACCCATTTTGTTCCAAAAGCAGTAGGAAGGTGGCCAGGGACCAGATAATCGCAGGGACGGGTTTTCACTGTGGGTTGCTCTATGTGTCCTCCGTCAAGCCCATTAAAAGGAGTTGTCCCTATGAGAAATGTTCTGCCTTCTAGCTCACCACCCCAGCTGGGCTCCCATGACAGTATCTTTTAAACTCTCCAGTCCAAGCCCTTTGCGGGAAAGATGGCCCAGTCCTGAAGCAGCCACCTCCCCTCCCCCTGGTTTTGATTGTCTCTCATGGTCAGAGAACTCAGTGGTACTTTGCTCTGAATGGACATGCATAGGCTTGTACTATTGGGCTGACGTCTCAGATGCATTTCCTGGAATGAAAGTCCCTGGAAACGGGGTGAGATTTCTCACTAAATAAGGGTGGGTGTGTTCTGTTACTATGCCAAACTGTTGAAGCTTTCTGGGAAAAGGGGGGCTGCTTTTCAAATTGCAGAACCGCCCATGGCAAATGGTCCAAGGAAGCGGTCCTGGGAGTGCCCTGCGCCCACAGTGGCTGCTGGACCCTCCCTGGTCAGTCTGGAGTCACTAGAACTGCATCCTGATTATTCCATTTTGTTTCTAACATGTGCACCTCGCTTTCTCCCAGATAGCATTCAAAGCTGCTTCATAGCCCTTCAAACTACTGAGGTTTAGGCGCCTGATGAAAACATTTCTCTTTCGACACACCTGTGGCATTGCTTAAACAATCAATAGCAATACCACTGGTTTTAATGGTAATCTTGTTTATTAATTTTATTAATTTATGGTTTGTCTGATTGTAAATATTAAGTTTTATTTTGTTCCTTTAGTGTAATATTTACCTGTATTATTTTATTAATGTTATTATTGACATTTTTATTGCAATGGCCACCCAGAGAGCATGAGGCCAGTGGGCAGCTTTTATACCAATTTAATAAAATAAATATATGAATAAACTCTTCTGGATGGTCCTGCGCAGGATAAATGTTGCAGGTGCCCATATATAGACTAGGGCAATCAAGTCCTTTTTGCATCTGTGCCAAGGAGGTATCTTCTCTAGAAATGTGGCACCTTCACCAAAAGGTCCAAAGAACATAATTGGGACAAGCACGGTCCTTTATGAAATGTCATCAAAACAAAACAATAATGCACAGGTCAGGGAACTGCAAGTTAGCTCTTTCCTACACCCATCCCATTTTTCCGAATGTCACACATGAGGACCGTGGGAAGAGACGGAGCTCCCCCGCACCACCGTCCTGCGCCGCTGCCTCCATCCAGTTTGGCTCCGCACAGCGGTTTTTTACCTAAAAACAGAAATGTTGGGCAATCTCAGCACAGATCTCCCTGCTTTCATGCCGTTTGACTCTAACCACCTTTTTAAAATAACAGGTGAGAATCTTGTAAAGGCTGTTGCAAAACCACCAAAAAGATGTTGAGGCAAACACAGCTTTCCAAGCTGTTATGCCAAGTGAACTCTCCCTCTCTCTCTCTCTCTCTCTCTCTCTCTCTCATTACAAAGCACTGAAAACATCTTGATTTTTTAAAAAATGCCTTCTCTACAGCCTCTGTGCCCTCTTTGTATGTTGACAGCTTTGCTGGAACAGCTAATTACAGGGGTGGCTGACTGGGTTTGCTCCCTCTTCAGTCAGCCAGACAACAGAGCTCACCCACAGCAGAAGTTCAAGAGCCATCAAGTAACTGACAGTGGCCGATGGGGTGCCCATGACTAGCTCGATTCCAGCCAGTGCTCCTTCAAGGAGCTAAAGAACCTGCCTATGAAGTTCTCCAAAGTTACTAGCCACGAATATCTGTGAGGACAGTTTCTGTTTCCTTCGATGCTTATACAGCCTTCTATTTGTCACATCCATGACATAAACTCCACAGAGGAAGACTATCTTGTCCATGGCTCTTCATCACAAGGGTTGGATGGAAACTGCGTGTTGGGAGATGGCCTGTTCCAGAAGATCCTGTTGCCTTCGTGCTCTGCTTGGCCAGCTTCTGGCCTTTTGATCTGACCCAGTGCAGTTTTTCTTATGTAAGCAGCTGGTCAGCCAAAGTGGGAAGCAAGATGCCCAAGTAGCTCCACCTTTGGCATGATGCAGATCTTCAGACGTTCTTGTGAAATAAAATAAGCAAAGAACCTCTCAGATAACTTCTTCCCTGCCTTATTGTAGTTCACAGGCAGGAATGAAATTATTCCCAGTCCCCTCCTTTTAGAAAGAAATTAAACCACACTCGGCCCTCAGCTGAGATACGCATGCTCTTCCCTTCAAGAGTGGCAAGGGGGACAGCTTTGCCCAGTTTGCATACAGAAGATCGTGGGATCCAGCGCAGGGCCAGAAACCACGGACACAAAGGCCTGGAGAGCTGCAGTGTTGACAGGCCTGGACGTTGTGGACCAGTGGCCTCACCCGGTGCAATGCAGCTTGGTCTGTTCCCATGCTTAACCTGCGTTTCAGGGCACACTGCCCCCATGAGGCAGATTGCAGTATTGCAAAAACATGGGCATGCAGCTGAAGAATACACTGCATGTTTAAGCATCCACTGTGGGCGGGAATCATTGGGTCTTCAGCATCTAAATTTCAGCCAGGCGGATCAGGGATTTCCAAAGGTATGGAGCCACCAAGGAGAAATCCTGCCCCTAGCACCCGCCCGTGCTGCTGGACAAGGTGGATTGTGCTACTCCGCCCAATGCACAGTTAAGGTTGCCCAGCCGTGCCTGAGGGTGCTTGGCACAGTGTCTTTGGGCACCCTTGTGCCCCAGGACACATTTCACAGCAGCTGCCAATGTCTCCTGCCTTTCTCTCTCATTTATAATTAGCACATTTTGCAATGAAATGTAGCTGCTGCAAAATGAAGGCTCAGGGAGATGTTCAAGGTGTTGCTTAGCCCGGCCATCATCTTTTCCCTGGGAGCAAGTCTTCTTAAATCCCATGGGAATTCCTCCCGCGTGTGCATGCAGAGGACTGCTCTGAACGCAACTCGAGCATTACGACGCTTCCTGTATTGTTGCTTTGCAACAAGCCCACCACGCTGGACCTCACTACCAAATGTCTGGCCATGAGCTTATTACGGGAAGCCAGACTACTAATCGTTTGCAAGCTATGCTGGCCCAAGACAATTTCTGTCTGAGGCAGGAGGACGGACCCTTTCCTGCCTTCCCCTGTATGAGCCTACCCTTAAGATCTTCTGAAGAGGTCTTCCTTTCAAAACCATCTCCTCAAAACTCCTTTGGCGGCCACGTGCAGCAGGGCCTTTCTTGTGGTTGCCCCCGGGCTGGGTTTGCACTCTTCTCTGCTGTCCCTCTGACGCCAGGCAAAGACAGCCTGTTGCAAGGCAGCATTTGGCCTGGAAGCGGGACTGTGGACCGGATGCAATTTTTATTCTGTAAGTGCCATATGTAATGTAGTTGAATGAGTTTCCTCTTTTGAAGGGTTGCTGTAAGCTGCCCTGAGTCCTGTCTGGGGGGCAGAAAGGCATGGTGTAGTGGCGCCGCTTTCTCAGGAGGCAGCCAGGTTGGCGGTGGAAGCTTCACCCAAGACTGGATGCGAGAGAGCATCCCCCACAGGCAGCAGACTGGTTCAGGGCCCAGCCAGGCGCTTCAGGAGGAAAAGCTGGGAGGCAGCAAATGCTGTCCACAAACTTTTGCCTCCCGAAGCAGTCGCTTCACTTTGCTTGACGGTGGGGCTGGCCCTGGATGCAAGCCAGGCTCCCCAAATATGGGTCTTCCTGCTTGCAGGCCCCCGTGGGAGAACCCACCAAAGGACGGTGTGGGGACTAGGCCTCAGATGGAGGGGGCATGGGTCAAACCTCTCTTTCACGAGATGGGAAAGGCTGCTTTGCAGGGCACCCTCCAAAAGGGGGCAGACACGGCCCATGCGCCATTCCTCCTTTGCATATCCAGGTGTGTTTTTCTGCATGCAGCCCTGTTTTCTTGCATTCCAAGCATCTTCGCAAGCCACATTGGAAGGAGGGTAGGGTGTGGTGGGGGAGACTGAGTTGTCGTTGTCCACAGTGCTTGTTTTTGTGTCGGTCGCCACGCCAGAGGTGAATTGTCTCCAGGCACTCGGGGCATGTCGGAATTAGCCAGGGGGCTCCCTGGAAAGTGTGACCGTTTTGGGGTGTAGCTGGAGGAAAAGCATGCTGCAAAACCCGTCTGTGCATGTCTTTTCCCGCTCTGCTGAGGGCTTGGCCCAGGCATAGGATGATGGGATCCCTCCTGTGGTAGAAGAGACGGCTGCATGGTCCACTCACACATGCAGAGGGTGCCACTGAGGAGGAGAGAGGAAAACAGCTGTTCCGATGCACAAGTGTTCGGAAATGCGGCTCTTGGGAAGGGCTGGGCAGAAGCATTGCTGGGACGCTTCGGTGCCGTTGCACCTCAGCCCTCGTGCTCTCTCACTGCAGAATGATTTTGGCTCGTTGCAGGGCATGGGAATTTTCCCACAACTGGTCCACGATCTCTTCCCAGCCCTTCCCTTTCTCCTTAACCAGCCACATGCCTGCAACTGGCT